AAAAAAAATTTTTTATTTGAAAAAAAATTTTTTTTGAGAAAAAAATTTTTTTTTTGAAAACAAAAATTTTTTTGAAAAAAATCTTTTCTTCATTTTGACATATGTTGGAAATTCTGAACTTTTTTTCAAAGCATTCGCACTGCTTAAACTGCATAGAGACGACATGCGCGCCGCCGTCTAACGCATAAGCATTGGTACGGAACCCATAGAAATGTAAAAAAAATGTATACTTATTGTTAAAATCTCTATAAAATATCTGATAATTTGATGTGCATAAGTCTAATGATCATTTTTGATCGCCAAATGGCATTTTTGATGAAATCAAATGAAATTTTTGATGAGATCAAATGAAAATTTGATCGGGTTTTCACCTTGTCAATATAAGTAAAATGTTTTTTGAATTATTAAAATCGGACGCTCCGTTCTCTTAAAAAATGAGTTACCGTTTTCGGCACTTTTTGCCCCGTATCTTCGGAACGGCTAGACCTCCCTGCGCCAAAAAATAATCAGCACGTCTCCTTATTAATACGAATCGAATGTTTTTTTAATTATTCAAATCGGTTGATCCGTGTTCCCGAAATCGTCGACGAAAATTTGTATCCGCACATACATACACACACACGTACATACATACATACACACACACACACACATACACACACACACATACACACACACACACATACATCCATTTTTTCTAAGGTATGCCAAAATGTTCAGAAACCTTTGAAACGTAAAGATATATAAAAATTTTCATTTTCGATTTTTTTGCGATTACTATAACTTGCCCTACGGGAAGTAAAAAATTTACACTTAGATACTAATTATTTAACATATCGTGTCGAAAAAACTAATCATAGAAAGTCCCTAACGAGTTTCATCAAATGCCTTAAACGGTTCAGCAGTATCAGAAAAATGTTGACAAAACGAAGCTGGTATGCCTTTTCCAAATTTGGTGTGAGACGATTCAAAATGACTTAAAACTTCGAAAAGCGTAAATAATGAAATACTATTTTCTGGTGAAGTTTCAAATTACTTCTTTGGGATATTTATAACAATAATATTCTTATTATTATTATAAATAATATTAATATTATAATTATTAAATGAGTTAAAACATTCAACTGCTATTTATTTTTCCACAGGTACTGTGGACAATTTAGGAACAGCTTATACAGACCGTGTGGTTGCCACAGGTTTGGGCAGTTATCTAGCAACACCGCTAATTCGAGAATATTTAAACCCGGACAAACCATACATGACTCAATTTGAAGCTGAAAGTTTAGTTGAGAAATGTATGCATGTCATGTTTTATAGAGATTCTCACAGCTCTGCTAATTATCAATTAGCAACAATTACTACAGACAAGAATATAAGGATTTATAGCGACATAGACATAGAGCAAGACTGGGATCTAGCAAATATAGTCTGAAAATAAAGAACTAATGTGAAGAAAGAGTCTAGAATAAAACAAAGAATCAGTTTACTCCATATATTTAAATGCATTTTTCTAATGCAGAATAATTTGCAATCCACATATGATTGCAAACTAAACATTGTTTAAGTATTATAAATATAATAAAATTATTGTCATTTGTGTATTATTTAATACATTTTAAGTTTGCAGACTGCTAGGTAAAGCACCGAATGGAATTGTGGACCAATCAATATCATCTGAAAAATATGTAATATTCGGAATATATATATTTTCTAAAAGAACAAAATAACTAAAATAATACTATTCAATTCGAATTTAAGCATATCAAATAGATTCAATTTCTATGTCTATTTAATATCAAGTAAACTGGTTCATAACATTGAGAAGATTTAGAAAAGAATTCAATGTTAAGGAAATTTATAAATTTATCAAATTGATGAAAACAGTTTGAAACAGAGAGAATAGAGAATGTTTATATAAACTCTCTTATAAATTAAAAAGAGAGGTAAAACTAGAAGATATAAAAACAATCTGTAACCTATTTACTGAATGCCAAAAGTACAGATTAAACTGATTTCTTGATACAATTTACTCTTATATAATTAATTGAAATAATTATTACTGTGGGGATTAGTGAGATATCAATATTATAATGATTCAAATCCCTGAACAAGTAATAGATATTCTTCATGGCAACTAATAGCAATATTTTATACTAATATTTTGCATAAATATTAAAGATATGCATTTGTTTCTAAATATATTACATAGACACTCACCATCAACTTCTCTCCAGATAGCATCAGGATTGTTTTCTTTTTTATTTCCAGTACCATTCACAGTCACTGTTTGCTCGGCATTGTCAACCTGATTTTTTATGTCATGTTCTAATTTAGCTTTTCTTACATCCTCAACAGTGTATATTTTTCTTTCAGTATTGTCTGGATTTAATGGAATATCAAGATCACAGCGTTTACTATTTACTAAGTTCTGTAGTCTGTCTATCGTACTAATGGCTTCTGGAGGCAATTTTTCTTCCATCAGATCTAATAAACTGAAAAATTAAAATTGAGATACTAATATATTGAAAATTTATGTTATAGAATATGACCTATCTTGTGTTACTTATTTTTAACTTCCCTAAGGAGAAGTAAACAAAGTAATTTAATTTATACAATTACAAATATTAAGGGTTTGAAAAATATCAATTGGAACAGCTCTGATCGATTTTTAATGAAAGCAAAAATTTTATTCTGAAAATAAACAGTTGAACATTTGACTAAAGAGCTGAATCTCATTTCTCATTAATTAAATTCATTATGAATACGTATCAGGAATTTAATGTAACTTGCCTCAAGGCAAAATGCTATTTACAACTAGTTTAATTTTGTATTTGTTAATAAAGTTTATAAATATTTATTGGTCTATTGAAAAATGGGTAGTTAGATATATCAATTTGACTGCTTACATTTTCCAGTATTTTCCATTCGGAACTCCAGAATTATTTAATAAAGTATATTTTAATGCATCCATGCTCAAAAAAAATTTATCTAAAGGAAGTTCCGGTCTGAACATAACAGGTGAAGTAATTTCCGGCAAACCTGCACTTGCTTCCATTATTGCCCTCTTTACTGTTGGTGGATTCGACTAAAAAAAAATTATTCAATATTAAAAATATATTTATATAAGAAGGGTAGATATAACATTTAGATACCAAAATATTACAAGTACTTTGTGATTTAAAATAGTACCCTAATTGTATTTATAATAGAGCTTGATATTATTCATAAATTATTTCCAGTTAAAATAATATTTTAAATACAATATGATCTATGTGGATTGTAATGAAATTAACTTACATAATTCGTCTCTGTAATTTTTTGTACAGATTTACACTTTGCGAGGCCATTCAAAACATATTCAAGCCATGTATATGCAAAGATTCCTCTATCAGACTTATCAGAACAAGACACATCAATTAATTTCTTGACCAAGCACGGCAGAGCATTTGCAACATGTAAGTGGTCCAGAAGTGGCATCCATAATTTCACATAATCTTTATAATAGGCATTCTCCTTGGGCAAAATATTTCTACTCAGGAAATTGTTACAGTTTAATAGACTATCCACATAGACATCAATGAATTTATTGTTCTCTTTGTACTTCTTGATGACTTGATTTATTCTCTTAATTACAATGAATAATAAAGATTTCAAGAAACAGCGTTCGGATACATATGTATTAGGATTCATTAATAAATTATCAACATCAGTTACCAAGTCTTTTTTCAATTTATGTATATTTATGTCACAGATTCGTTTAAACCTAAAAGTAAATTAGATTTAGGAACAAATTTTCTGCAGAAAGCCTAAATAATATAATCAGTTCAGAGCAATATTCACAATATTGATTTATAAATATTGTATTTCAAATTAAATATTCTTAAATATATATACTTTCAATCAATGTTCTTTAAAAAACATGAATTTTGAATAATGCCTTTATATTCATTATATGACAATAATTTTTAATTAGATAAGTAAGCTTGAAAATAGGAAATAATGAAGATAGTATTATTCAGAATTAATTCAAATTTATTATTATTAATTTCAAACCTGTATTCACCGATGTATATCACAACATTATCATAAATCAACAAGAATCTCTCCAAATATTGTTTGTAATTATTTTCTTCTGGTTCACTTATACTGTCTGTAATAATATAATCAATTATTTCTTCATTTTCTAATTTCCAATACATCTCATAAAGCCATTTTAATGCATATTGTGAGGCCTCTCTAAGCAAAGCTATAGGTGTTAATTCTGTACTATGAGCGACTGCATGGCGTATATTAATAATCCAATGTGGAATTTGTAAATTTTGAGCAGTATGATACAATGTATTATACTTTGTTGAGTCAGTTATTAAGTTGAGCCACCTGAAATAAATGAAATTTGTTATTAATTTCAAATTTAAATCATCAGTCATGATTTTTTTTCTTTAAAAAAAAGAATATAAATTAGCAAAATTCTAAGCACAAACTATTATATACATTGTAGTATATGTATTTTCATATATACATTATAGTTTGAGTAATTCTGAAATAATTTATTATTGTGCCACCAAAACATATTTTATACTGCTGTATAGGTCAGTGATTCCCAATGTGCAAACATAAACAATTTGTAAATTCTGGGGTACAGTTTAAAAATTGACTCAACACTGGCTATATAGAGAAACTGAAACCAAAAGCTCAAATGTAACCAAATGTATAAGAAATTGCTATGATTTATTGATGAAAAACAATAGACTTGATAAAACAAACATGGAGGCTTGAGATTAAAGCTAAATAAGTTAGAATTTAATACAAAATGCAATGTGCAGGAAGCATCAGTAATAAGATTGTTTTGAAAATTTACTTATAATTTTACAGTAATTATATAGTCATTTCTTCTTAAAACATATTTATATTTCTTCAGGAACAAAATATTTTTTTAAAATTCAAATTTTGTATGGATAGGGAATTATATCATTTTCGGAAGCCCTAAGATGTTTGGAAAATGTTGTGAATCACTGGTATTGCTGGAACATTAAAATAATGCACAGGATTACATTAAATTATGGGCCATAACCCACCTTAAGTTTTCCAAAAACATTATGCCCCCCTTTCACTTTGATAGATCTTTGATCTCATTAAAATTGTCTATTAGTTCTATTTATTTTTATTGGCAAAAGATAAGATAGATGCAAAAATTTAACAAAATTTGTGAAATACCAAAACTTAACCAATAGCAAATACTAACCGCATTATTGCCATAGAGTATACTGTTTGTTTTGTTCTATTACTTTGATTATCATTGTCAGGATTCTCATCATACAAAACTGCTTCAAGAATTTCCATCGTCCCTTGTATTCCTCCAGACAAATACGGTGTTCTAACTTTCCACATTTTCATATAATTCAAACCTTCCAATCGATTCACATATTCAGACGAGAACACTAAACTAAACACATGCCTCCATTCAGCACTAGAAAATTATTAGTTAATAATTAATAAATAACGCCATTTAAATATAAATAAAATTTGCTTTATACCTTGAATACCATGGAGAAACTTGTTTCACTAAATCTTTAGATGCCATTGTAAAAGTTAATTGAAGCGTAATCTTAATGATATATAAAAACTTATTTTATTGATAGAACTGCCTAAAATCACATTATAAAATATTAATATCCCTGATAAAAATTAAGGGATTGTGACAGAAATTATTACCGGCACGAACCGGCTTGTACAACAGCGAAGTTTGACGTTCTTTAAAGGGCAGGGCATGTTAGCAATGTAGCCAATATAGTAAAATTTGCATCTGTGATGTTGGCATTAATTTTAAGTAAACATGTATTGTGCCAGGGAAGTACAACCATTAAGCCATATATATAGCCATATATATAGCCATATAGCCATATATATATATATATATATATATATATATATATATATATATATATGTATATGGCTATATATATATATATATATATATTTATATTATATATATATATATATATATATATATAGCTCTTAAACTTGCCTTTAATAATTTCCTCTCATAACTGCATTTTATTATACTTATCATCAACAGAATTTTTGATAAAGCAATATTTAAATTTAAGTAGTGGTGCATTGCATCGTGCCTTAAGGCAAATTGCTGAAACTTCCCGTACCAGAATTAAATTTTCAAGCAAAAAAATTAATAACCAATAAATACTGATCGATGATTAATAACAATTGTTCTAAATATTTTCAAATAGATACTTGTAGTTACTATATATCTAATCGATCATATATTATACAGAGACGATTTTATCGCACAAAACACTTAAGGGGCACAACTAGTGTGAAATTTTCAAAAAATCGAATTTTCAATTTTTCCATATTTCGATAGGTTATACCTTTAAAAATAACATACTAAAATTTTAAATCCATATCTTAAATAGTTTTTGAGTTACAGCCATTAAAAGAGTATGTATATAGTAATAGTATAACGATCATTTAATCTTTAAACGCGCTTTTCTCGAAAGAGCATTTTCCGAATTTGCTGCAGCAATTACTCAAAAACAAATGATCCGATCACTATCAATTTATTTTTACATGTTCTATTTATAGTTCTCCGTAAAATGAACTATCGATTTTTTGATCGGATCAAAAATCGAATTTTGGCAGTCCAAAAACGACCAAAATTTTGGGTAAAATTCGACTTTTTTTAAAAAACGCCGTTATTTTGTCAATTTTTGATTTTTTTTCTTTATCGTAGTTCATTTTACAGACAATATTATCTAGTTTAACGAGATTTTTTTTTTTAATTTCATCCACGTAGAAAGCCGGAATCACTGCAGCAGTGAAGGGCCTTTTTTTGTCGCGCCGTTGGAGATCGACGATAACTTAAAAAATATTAATTTTTTTCCTTCAAAAATTTTACTGTGTATTTTTAAAACATGTATAAATGTATTACTAAAATTTTGAAATGATTGATATAGTAGTTTAATTTAAATTCCCAAAAATCACCTGTTTTTAGGCGGTTACACTAGTTGTGCCTCTTAAGAATATTTACCTTAATAAGAGTTGCCGAAAGAATCTTTATTACAATAAGGATAAATTTCTTAGAATAATGCATATGAAATTTATTTTTACAATTTTAAACTGAATTGTAAACTTAAAATTCATATTTAAAGTATAAAATTTTGTAGATTTTTAAAAATTAAAAAAAAAAATTAACAATTTTGAACTTTCTTTGATAAGTGATCTCTAAAAATTAAAAATTTTGGTACGAAATCTAAAAAAAAAATGTAACAAAATTAGTACTCATTTTTAAAATCTCTATGAAATATCTGATAATTTGATGTGCATATGTGTAATAATCATTTTTGACCGCCAAATATTTTTTGTTTTAGTTTTTCTCTGTATTTCCGAAACCGCTAAATCTGCCTTCACATAAATTTAATCAAATCGGGTATTTTGTTACCACAAAATCTGGATTACCATTCTTGGCACTTTTTGCCTCGTATCTTTAAAACGACTGAACGACTGAAACGACTGAAACGACTTATTATATTGTCTAGGGACTGAACCCACTGGACTTGCCTTCGCCAAAAAACTAATCAGCACGTCTTTCCTTCAATAGAAATCGAATCAAATGTTTATTTGAATCATTCAAATCGGTTGATAAGTGCGTCTGAAATCGTAGACAAAAAATTCTATCCAAATATACGTACACACACACATAAACTCACGCATATATATCAATTTTTTTAAAGGTAAGTATGCCAAAATTTTCAAAAACCTTTCAAACGTAAAGATATGGAAAAAAAATATTGCAATTACTATAACTTACTCTACGGAAAGTTAATTATCAGAAATGTGTTTTTTTACTCAATAATTTTATTTATATTTGGAAAAACATAAAAATTTGTAAATCTATGAAAATAATTATTCTGTGATTAAAGATTAGGTAAGTAGTAATTTAATAAAATTTATTTAGTACTGAAAGGATAAATATTCCATAATATACTCTTCTTTTATCTATGAATTTATCTCTGTATAAAAATGCATACCGCGTACCATCTTGCATTCAAGATGCTTATTCATGTTTATTACCCCTGCAAACGACGTCCTCCATTTTAACTGTCAAAATTACTCACCCATCCGTCAGAACAAGGTTGTACGCGATAATTTGTTAGAGTTGGATATCAATTGCGCTTTAAGGATCGAAAATCAGATTCGATAAAACCACCTAGGAGTGGAATAAATTCTTCTTAACCAGCTGCATTAAGTTATTCATCATAGGCCTCTCAGAGACTGCCGCTATGGATATGATGGTGTCGAGCCTTCAGCAGCAGAGGGCTGTTACCGAACAGCTCCGCAGGGAAGCCAGCGTCAAAAGAATACCGGTGTCTCAAGCAGTTGCTGATATTGTCAAATATATAAATGACTATGAGCAAGAAGATTGTTTGCTTGTTGGATTTACTAGTCAAAAGGTGAATCCTTTCAGGGAGAAGTCCTCCTGCATCCTGATTTGATTCAATATGCAATAAGTGGAATTTTATTATCATTTATGTATTTATTAATTTACCTTTATATAAGTATCTCAATGAAATCATAAAGTGAAACTGCCCAAAACTATAAATACCACATAAATGTATTAATGGAGATGTTGTAATTCAATAAAATATTGATGGTCGATGTATTTTTGTCTGATTAATGTGAATATATTTCATATTTTATATTAACGCTGTGCAAAATTTTATTTTATAAATTTCATAAAATTGTCCCATAATACATGTATATCTGGAGTATTGTTTGATCTTATTAAATAAACAAATTATCAGTAAAGGTGTTTTTCTTTTTTAACAACTTCATCATGTAATTAAACTTTACAGAGTTCAATTACATTACTTTAAAATTAAAATAGAAATTAGCATAAATATAATATAGTAAAATATTATCATTAATGCATTTTAACTAGGATATGTTTTAAATTTACTTATCATATCTTTAATTGTAACCGCTAATTTATAACCCACCCATAAATTATAAAAAATGAAGTGATTTAAATATCAAGCAATTAAATCCTTCGTTACACTCTCATTCCATAGATTAAAAACTTATAAGAAATAATAATATTGAATATTACTTTGTAAGTGAAAGATAATATAATTAAAAAAATATGATTCTATGCTTATTGCTATTATTATCAATTATGATGTGATAGACCTAGATAAAATACAAGAAAACAAATCTGAAAATTGATCGATAGAAATACAAATATAACAGTATAAATATTTGTATTAATATTATATTATTCAATTAACATTAGAACAATTTTGTTCCATAGCTTCAAATTTTTGCAATTCCACTAACAAAGTTTTCAGCTGTAATTAAAAGATGCATGATTATTTAAATTATCTCTTATACATCTTTATTTTAAATCATACCTTATCATCATTCATATCCTGAACATCCTTAGGAGCCTTTTCCCTATATCCTTCATTAAAAATTACTTGTTGCAATTTTGTAATCTTCTTCATAAGTTTGCGTTTTTTATTAATTGTTAATTGATTGGTACTTTCTGGTATTTGACTAGGAATGACATGCACAGAGCAAAATGCTCCTGCAGTATCAAAAAGAGAATTTTCAGGTGTTCGATTAGATATTTCTGTATTTTTGCATCCTGATAATGTTTGTATAACATTTAATTGTGGATGAATAAAATGATATTCAGGACTTTCTAGTACCATCTCCAGAACAACTAAAAATAAAGGAAAAATGAATTCAAAATTGCAAAGCAATAGAATTTTTGGTATATTTATACATTTCAAACACAAGTCCATATACCAAAATTCACCTTTTTTATCCTGTTTCTTGGAAATATTGTGAAGAAGACAAATTCTTCTAATTGTTGAAACGATGTCTAAAATTAGCTGAACATTTGATTCTAGTACATTGTCACTATACTCATTTATCTATTAAATAAAAAAAATTACTCAAAATTATTCTATACTACAAAATATAATTTTTTCTTACCTCATTATTTGGAAAAAATGTTCCCATATCGATTCCGTGAATATTATTTATCTCTGGTAATGCTTCTAATAATTTTTCACTAATATGTGGCATAAAAATTGATAAATGCTTTAAAGCAAAATTTAAACTTAATATAAGAGTATGGCAGCTATAAACAGTCCTCGAACTAAATTCTCTAGCAAATGGCTTTGTTGATTCCTGTAATTAAACGCAGTTAGAAATCATAAAAACTTTTTATAATAGTTGATAATGAATGCAATACTTACTATATAAACATCGCAAAGTTCTGAGTACAAAAACTGTTTCAGAGCAGCAGTGGCATAATGAAAATCATAATTTTCTAAACTTGTGTTCACTTTAGTAATCATTTGTGATAATTTGCTCAGAATCCATAAATCCATACATGTTAAGTTACTTTTATCAAATATTGCATTTTCAAACATTTTGTTTTCTCTACATAAATTGACTAATATTTTTGTGTATTTAGTAGCTTGCCAGATTTTATTCCCAAACAGTTTGTTTACATGGCATTCATTAACATCGAAGTTAATAAAATGTGATTTAATATTTTTAGAACATAAAGTATATCGCAATGCATCTATTCCACATTCTGGAATACCATTTTTAAATAATTTCTTTTGGCCTTCAATTGACTTTCTCACTTCTGCATCACTAAATAATCCTTGATTGTAAAATTTTTGCAATCTTTGTTGTAATTCCTACAACATGATAAAAATATAAGTTTTGTATATGTTGCAAAATTCGTGCAAAATATTAATTATTATTTTAAAAATAATTTTCTAATGTACTTCTAATGATTTTCCATTTATAACATCATCAGGTTCTATAGTATTTCCAAGACTTTTAGACATTTTTCTGCCATGCACATCACAAATAATACCATGTAGTAAAATTTTTTGAAAAGGCAATACGCCAGTCAGTTTTTTTCCAAGCATGACCATTCTAGCTACCCAAAAGAATAATATATCATGACCTGTTTCTAGAAGATTCAAAGGGTAATAGTTTTCTAACTGCTGAGTCTGTAAAATAATAAACATTTTATACAGAAGAATCATAAGTAGAGGTTTAGCCAAGAATTGTGCTTAGAGATTTACTTATCAAAATTTCTACCATTGGCAAAATATGATTATTAAAAAATTTCTAAGAGAAATAAAATCTTTTTATTTGTATACCTTTTTTGGCCATCCATGAACAGCAAATGGAAATAAAGCTGATGAAAACCATGTGTCCAATACATCTTGATCTTGTGTAACAACCAAGAAATCTTTAGATGTATTTAATTTAGAAGTTGCTTTATGTGCAGCTTCATTTGCATTTCGTGCTGCTACAAATATTTTCTTATCAGAATTATTTTTATCATAACATTCATACACAGGAATTTGATGACCCCACCACAATTGACGGGATATGCACCAATCTCTATTATTTAAACATAAATCTATCAGAAACTAAATTATTTGTAATATGTTTATAACACTTAAATAAATATTAAGTATATAATTTAAGCACACTAAAGTTCAGTAACTTTAGTAAAGTGAAAGCAAATGGTTAGGATTTTAATTACTACAGTTAATCTCATACACCAAAGTAATTTCAAATGGTAAAAATAAAGTAATTATTTTAACTATAACCGATTAATATAGTAATAATTTAAGTACCTTATTCCATTTAACCAGTTAAACCAATTCTGCTCAAAATGCTTTGGCTCTATTTCCAAGACACCATTTTTAACATCTTCTACTGCTGATTTAGCCAAGTCTTGGCAATTAACAAACCATTGCGGCCTTAATAATAATTCAATTACATCTCCTGTACGGCTGCATATAGGTATCACCATTGAATGATTTGTAATTTTTCTAAACAAATTGAGATCCTTTAATTCATTCATAATTGCATTTCGTGCATCATATCTATGCATTTTTGCAAACTTGCCACAATTACTATTCATATATCCTCTTTCATCGAAAATAGATATCATGGAAAGTTTATGCCTCTTTGATATTTCAAAGTCCTTGGCATCATGAGCCGGTGTTATTTTTACTGCACCTATTAAATAATAATAAATTGTTCAATTGTTCAATTATTTGGAATAGAAAATGAGACATTCATCAATTTTATATCAAGTCTGAAATTGAATCTTGATAAAATAAAAATCTGCACCACTTTTTTATTTGAGAAAAATGGAAAAAATCTTCAGCATGCATTTTGATTATACAAGAAGTATATTAAATTGGTATAGATATACATAGTAAACAATTATAAAGAAAATTCATTTACGACTTTTGATCAGTATGAGTATTTTAGAAGTAGCAACATACCTGTTCCAAAATCAGAGTCAACAGTTTCATCAAATATTATCGGTATTGTTTTATCTAGAAATGGATGTTTGGCTTGAACATTATTAAGATGTGCATACCTTGGGTCTTTAGGTGAAACAGCTATTGCAACATCACCATGAATCGTTTCAGGTCTAGTGGTTGAAACAATGATTTCTTCATCTTAAAATATTTAAAAAAATTTATTGATCAATAGAAATAAATATATAAGAAAAACTTAACAATCAAACAATTAGCATTCAATCTTATTTCAAAATAAATTAAATACATCATAGAATTTAATGTGGAAATAAATTTTTTGAAAGCTAATACTTTATTTAACATTTGTGGATGTTTATTAAAATAAAGGTGGTATAGTAGCATGGTAGTACAGTATTTAATCCTACCTCTATCACATAGTTTATATGCAAACTCTGTAAGTATTCCGAACTGAACTGGTTTATCATAACCGGGTACTCTTATAAAAGTGGGCTCTTTAATTTCTTTAGACTGAACTTCTATATCAGATATAGCACTTTGAAGATGACAGCACCAGTTTACAAGAGCATTGTCTCGATAAATTAATCCTTCATCAAATAATTGTATAAAAGCTTCGTTAACTGCTTCTACCATATCCTAGATTGAATCATATTATTAATATAATATGCTCATGAAATATATATGCATTTTATATAGTATACAATCATACAGAGTCAAGAGTGAAAACTTCTTTTTCCCAATTTAATAAGGTTCCCATGCCTTGTAATTGTTTTTTAATTGATGAACTTGTTTCTTCCTTCCAACTAAAATTTAAACAAATATTGAAAATATCAATGAAAATTGTAATTAGTAAAAAGATATTCAGCTTTGTTTGAATAAATCTTAAGCATCAAGCAAAATTGTGATTGAAATGATATGAAAAAATAACATTTAAGAGACAAGATATAATGTTGAATAAAAATATATTAAATCTATTAATATTAAAACTCCTTGATAATTTTGAGTATGTTCTCTCATGCAAATCTAATAATTTGACTACCTAAACTTGATATATTTTGTTAGTCTCACACCTACTTCCACACATGTTTGATAAAATCTTCCCTTCCAATATCAGACCGAGTCTTATTTATTTGTTTTAGTAACTGCTTTTCAACAATGACTTGTGTAGCTATTCCAGCATGATCAAAACCAGGTACCCACATAACATCAAATCCTCTTAATTTATACCTAAATAAGGTAATATAAAGAAAACGTTTATAAATAATTATATAAATAAATCTGATCCTAATATGACGCGCATGTAAGCGCATTTTGGTATAAAGTCAATTTTAACATAATTCAAAATGAACCAATCGACAAATTAATTCAAAAATATTTTTTTGATTTATATAAGCTTGGTTTTTATAATTACCATCTAGCTAACACATCTTGAATTGTTATATTAATTGCATGGCCCAGATGTAATTGTCCAGTAATATTTGGAGGAGGTAATACCATACTATATATTTTCCCATTGGTATTTTTTGGAAATATTCCTGGTGTCTTCGAATAAGTACTACATTCTACTTCTTTTGGTTTATATCCACTAGATAATTCTGTTGAGTATAATGAATTACTATGAAATAAATAATATAGCACACTTTTATTCGGTTATTACCCTTTTCAAATACATAAGAGGAAGTTTTTAATGAACGACTGAAATTGATTCCAACTAGATTTTTGTTCAAATATATGTAAATATTGTTCACTACAGATGTATTTATTAATGAAGATTGTTTGCTTTTAATTGAATACATTATGTAAATAAAAACACGAATAAAGTAAGGTTAGATAATACTTTATATCTTATGTTAAACGAACGATTGTCGCAGAATATTAGTGCATAGTTACGTAAACTATTTCAAGTCATTTTCTTCACATTAAAAATAATCACCAATGTCAATATAATGTAATTCATATATTCAAATTATTTTTATTACTTCATAATAAATTTGAGTGTTTTTAAAAAATGAGTTACTGTCATGTGCAATGTGCAGTACAGTGTTGTAAACATATGAAAATGAAGTTCGAAATGAAGTTGTTTTATTAACTTTGCTGCCAACCGTTTTTCGTTTTTTTAAATGCATGGATACAATTTTCCGTCCACGTTTTCGGGCGCACGGATTAACCGATTTGAATGGTTCAATAAACATTCGATTTCTATTGATAGGGAGATGTGCTGATTAGTTTTTGGCAAAAACGGTTCAGCCGTTTCGGAGATACGGAGCAAAGAATGCAGAAAATAGAAATCGAGTTTTTGAAAGATCGGAGCATCATATTTGAATGATCCAAAAAATATTCAATTCATAATAACGGGGAGAAGTGGTGATTAGTTTTTGGTAAAGGCAGGTCCAGTGGTTTCGGAGATACAGAGCTAAATGTGCAAGTAAAGGTAGTTTTTGAGAGAACTAAGCGTCCGATTTGAATGATCCAAAACACTTTCTGCTTATCTTAACAAAATAATTGCTTTTGGAAAACAAAATTTTTGTATCAATTTATTTTTTCAAATTTTCTTTTTTTTAAACAATGTTTTTTTTGTATATCGAAAATAATTCAGATTTTAATTGTAATTCTGACTTAAGTTCTAATATACTTTAAACAAATATTTTCAAATTTGCAATTCAGTTTATATATTTCTTATAAATATTCGACAATGTTACAGTATTTATAATAATCTATTTGAAAACATTTAATATTTCTCGAACATTTCGTTACGGTACGGGAAGTTCCAGCAATTTGCCTTAAGGCGCGATGCCATACACACCACTAGTTTTTTCTGTTTTCTATCAGTTCATGTGATGAATAATATATTATTCATATTATAAATAATATGAATAATAATAACACATATTATGAATAATAATAACACAAATTTCTCAAACAAAAATAACTCCTATTATTCAATTTTATAATGTTTTGCATTTGCAAGTGGAAACAACAAATCTGAAAAATTTGTGTTAGTAATAAATCAACTTATTGTTAGTAAAATATGCTTTTATGTTTAATAATTTATTAGGAATACGTATGATACAAATTCTTATATTTCAATAATTAATAAATTTTAAGAAAATCATAAATTTGTGGATAGAAAAATAAAATAAAAGCTTTTGTACAATTTAATTTTGCGGTGTTATGCTTAAAGAAACAATTCATAAAATGTTACAATAAACTATTCAAAATTTTATGTAATGACTATAATTGTTCCAGAGAACTAGCAGGAGCCGTTGAACTAACTTTAACATGAATTTGATTTTTGATCATGGCTGCTCTAAGAATAAGCATTTTCGTTCTTCTTTGATATTCACGTCCCATTGCTAAACTTCGTTCAAATGTTGCACTTCTCTGATCAGCATCTTTGGCATATAATATTTTATTATGGGAATCGATCCTGGCTTGAATTTGTCCATCCAAAATGAGTTGCATCAATTCATCTTCAAGAGCACTCACAGATCTATTAAAAGCTTGTGCCATTTTATGCATGTCTGCAGATTTGTAAGGGCTAAAATATTGAATTAATGCTCTATTCCTAATTTGAGTATACAATGCGTTCACATGAGGGGCAAGATACATATCTAATAACAAATTGTCTCGAATTTCATCCATCAGCTTTAAACAACAGGCATATTTAGAATCATAAAATTTAATAATGATATCTCTTAATTGTGGTTCAGTTTCTAGAAATAGCTTGAATGAACTACTAAATATGACATTCTTTAGTAATTCTTTTCTGTCAAATGTAGCAAGTGCACACAGCCCACCATATATTGCCACATTGCTTGGAGACAACAATTCGGTATAATCACAATGATCTATACTAGCAGCAAGAAAATGTTTAGCAGCAGATTTATATTTTCTTGTAGCTAATTCAGCAAGCCCAGCAGCGCATTTAAGTCGTGTTGTGATCATTTGATTTAAATCCTTACCCAAAACTTCAGCAAAATCTGGAGTACTTTCAGCTTTTGAAACATAACTTAAAACATGGGACCAATTTTGAAGATAAACAGATACTTTAATAACATTTAGACACATATTAAGAACATGCTTTCCACTAGTACAATAATCACGTGCCCTCGAATAGCATTTTAGAGCATTTGATAGATCACCACAGTCCATGTAGTGATCCCCCAAATCGTCGTGGCCTCTACGAATGCTCTCTTTTATTGAATTAGATTTGTAGTTCTTAAGGTCAGTATCGAGTTTTTCTAATTTCAACGCTGCTTTTTTACCTTTTGTTTCAACCCACTGAATATCTAGGATTGGAATATCTTGGGATGCTGATTGAGCTGCTAAATCTGGTAGATTGGGACCCGCTGTCTCTGCCAATTTCTTATGCAAGTGTTGGTATAAGTTAATATTATAGGTTGTCATGACATACATCAAAGCCATTTTCAGAGCCTCTTGTCTTAATGAAGGGCAGTGATCTGCTATGTAAATAAGCCGATGTAGCCTTGCTAAGCCGGTGTAGCTGCTAGCATAAGCATCCAAATCCAATGTTGGATTTTCCACAATGTATGTTTCTTCTTCATTATTCTCGTTATCTTCGGGAGGGGCGTCGATTTGCATAGGTTCTACCGCATTCTGTAAAACAACAATGATTCAAAAAACCAGAAAAAAATATATTGATAAAAATATCTTACCATATTTACAAATGCTTTTCTACTGAACTCGAATTTCATTCACACGCAAAATGACATTTCAGTCATCATAACCTTACAATACACTGTTAACATAATTAGATAAATTTAAAATCAATTAGATAAATATCATTTAAAGTTTTTATTTGATTTATATAGCTAAACAAACAAACATTCAACGTAAATAATATGTACCTGATATAATGCATTCTGGATCGGCATTTTGACTTTTATAGATTTGCCTTGTTGGCAGCCCGAATTTTGGTATTCGCGAAAAACGTGGTAAAACTGTTAAATTTGAATTATTAATATGCGTACCTACATTTCGTATGGATATCACAAATATTTTATTTGATAGATAAATATTTGTCAAATCTTATGAGTAGATTCCATTTCATAAATGCTTATATATTTTATATTATTAATATTATTATATTATTTTATAATTATGTTGTATTAACTTTTTCTTAGGGCAAGTTACAGCAATCGCAAAAAAATCGAAAATGAAATTTTTTATATATCTTTACGTTTCAGAGGTTTCTGAATATTTTGGCATACCTTAGAAAAAAAACATATATTTGTGTGTGTTTGTGCGGATACAAATTTTCGTCGACGATTTAGGTAACACGGTTCAACCGATTTCAATTATTCTAAAAACATTCGATTCCTAAGGAGACGTCCTGATTAGTTTTTAGCATAGGCAGGTCTAGCCGTTTCGAAGATACGGGGCAAAAAGGGCCAAAAACGAGAACTCAGTTTTTAAGAGAACGGAGCGTCCGATTAATAATTCAAAAAACATTTTACATGTATTTTTTTAACTTCCCGTAGGGTAAGTTATTATAATGGGCCGAAAATCGAAATTGAAAATTTTTACATTTCTCGACGTTTTGAAGGTTTCTGAACATTTTGGCATACCTCAGAAAAAATGGATGTGTGTGTGTATGTATGTATGGATACAAATTTCCAGTCACGTTTTCGGGCGCACCGATCAACCGATTTGAGTGGTTCAAAAAACATTCGATTCCTATTGATAGGGAGAAGAGCTGATTATTTTTTGGCAAAGGCAGGTCCAGCCGTTTCGGAGATACGGAGCAAAGAGTGCAGAAAATAGAAATCGAGTTTTTGAGAAAACGGAGTATCCGATTTGAATGATCTAAAAAACATTCAATTAGTAATGATTGGGAGAAGTGTTTATTAGAGAACTAAGTGTCCGATTTAAATGATTCAAAGAACTTTCTGCTTGTCTTAACAAAATAATTTATTTTAGAAAAAAAAATTTGTTTCAACTTTTTTTTTTCAAAAATTTTTTTTTTTTTGTATATCGAAAATAATTCAGATTTTGTTTTTAATTCTGACTATAGTTCTAATATACTTTGAACAAATAATTGCAACTTTGCAATTCAGTTTATATAATTATTATAAATATTATACAATGTTACAATATTAATAATAATCTATTTGAAAACATTCAGTATTCGTCGAACATTTCGTTACGGTACGGGAAGTTCCAGCAATTTGCCTTAAGGCAGGATGCCATACACCCCACTATAGTTAATTTTAATTTTGAAAATTTGCTTTATTTGACTCAAATACATACATTGATTTTTACATAAAGATTCAAATTGTATACACCTATTCTAGGAATATCACTCATTATACTATTATCATAATATAATATTGTTTGCATATATATTTGTTTCAATTAATTAATATAAATATGAAAAGAGCTACTAAAAACATACTGCCATCATGTGTGTTTTACATGTATTGTCGAAGAACTGATAACATTTTTGGAAAGGCAGGTCTAGCGGTTACGTAGATCTAGTAAAAAAAGTAAAAAAAATGCCAATTGGTCAAAAATGGTCATTAGACATATGCACATCAAATTATCGGATACTTTATGGAAATTTTAATAATATGTATCAATTTTGTTTACATTTCTATGGGTATCGTAATATCGTTTGTACGTTAGACGGCGACGCGGCGCTTACGCGCTTCGAGAGGTAAAGCAGTGCGATTGCTTTGAAAAAAAAGTTCAAAATCTCCAAAATATTTCAAACTAAAAAAAATTTTTCTCCAAAAGTTTTTTTTTCAAAAAAGTAAATATTTTTCAAAAATTTAAAGTTTCTCAAAAATCTAATTTTTTCAAAGTTTGAAACAATCTTTTTTTACAAATTTAATTTTTGGTACGAGAAGTTTCAGCAATTTGCCTTAAGGCACGATGCCATGCGCCCCACTAGTTTAGTTATAAACTTTAAAACGTTAAACATTAATTAATTTAAACTAACTATTCTTTACAGGCTTTTCAAGCCACTCATCATGATAATTTCTGAAGCACCTATACAAATTAATTTAAATAAACGTTCGCCTGTACCAACACATCATATACATACACATTTAAAACTCGAGAGCTCACGGTCGCCTTTAAATACAACACGCAATCGCCGATAAACTCTTAGTTCGAGTTCTGAATTCATATCATAATGTTGCTACTGTATACTTTTTCAATATTTCTGGCCTCTTGTGCCTTCGCCGCGGTACCTATTGTTGAAGAGGTCAATGAGACCCCCGTCGTGGGCATCCTGACCCAGGAAATTGCTTATAGCCTGAACCAGCAATATCCTGACCAGTTCAAGAGCTACATTGCGGCGTCCTATGTTAAATTTGTCGAAGGAGGTGGTGCTAGAGTTGTTCCGATATGGTAATTTATAAATTTATATTAAATTTTTATTATTAAAGCCAAGTAGATTTAACATATATTCACATAAACATAAATAATATATTAATAAATTTAAAAAATATGTTCATTTTTACAATATTAAACGAATGGGAAAACAACTTTTGAGTTGTTTTTCTAGCATGTCCATTTAATATACAATGTCTCTTTAGGGATGACAATTGCAAATTCCCCAAATTTATTAAATGTCTTTAACTGGACAGTTGTAAATAAAATAGAGAAAAATAAGAAAAAATATTTACAATATTTGATTTTATATTATTTTTTTCATTTTACTAATTTCAGGATCGACAAAGACAGAGACTACTACAAAGATATAATGAACAAAGTCAGCGGGTAAATATATTTATTTATTTTCATTAAAATATTTTTCTTAAGGGTCTAGAATTTTCAAAAAATCGTTTTTCTTTTTTTTATACTTTCAAAGTTTAACTCTTTAAGAATGTGTTTACAAGAGGATTTTTTAAAATTCAAATTATTTTCGAAGATAAGGCTGTTTGACCAAGATATAATCTTTTGTTCTGTTTCCTTCCTCTGCAAAACTTTAAACTAGTTTACCTCGAAATTGTTTTTATTCGAGATGATACCCACGATTTCTCAACTTCTACTAGATCGATTTACTTGAAATTTTTACAGAGTCTTTTTTATAGAAATCTCATCTGTATGAACTACGCTCATCCTCAAATTCCGATTTTAACTATTTTTAAAAAATTCGAGAACATAAAAAAAGTTGTAATTTTTTTTTAGTTCAAACGATTGTAACATTATTCTAGATTAAATATATATTAATATATTAATAAATATATTTCTTAAAATTAAATATTATATATATTTCTTCAGATTTTGAGACCCCCCACACTTCATCACTTTCTAGAAGTAAAACTTTACGATCATTGTTAATTTTTATTTCTTTTCCAAATTCTCGCAACATTACTATAAATTGTAAAAAATGTAGTAAAAATATTGTTTGCCCTTTTTATGGCCATTCAATAAAACTCATAAAATTCATGCCTCTAGACCAGAACACCCACTTAAATGTATTTTCAAAAATATTTGTTCAATATGAAAGTATTGTTCAATTAGCAAGCGACTAAACTTTTTTTCATTATTGAAAGAAAATAACAATTTTTATATGGCTTTATTAATGTTTATGATAATTTCAAATTAAATAAGGTTTAACAGCTTAGATGTCATTTTATTAATAGAATGCGTTAGGCATATATTATTTCAAGTAAATATATAGTAAGACCAGTAAAAATAGAATTATCGAGAAAAGAGATTTTTTTAAAAAAAATTTCCTCTTATAGATAGCAATATGTTTTCAAGTGTAAATGACCCCGGCATTACAGCATTACAGAAATTATAATAAAAAAGGAGTTTCCTTATATAGATCCACATTGTTCAAGAATTCTATACCGGATGAAATAAAGCCAATCACAGATTTAACTGAACTAAAATTAAATTAAAAGCACACATTACAGATGAACTAAATTATATTGATTACTGCTATTGTTTTAATTTTTGTATATATTGTTTGCGTATATATGTATGTTTGTTCCTATGTTTATATGTTTATATGTTTATAAATTTTAAATAGATTAGAGAATAAACTATTATGGCTTTTTGTAAAAATATTTATGTGATGTCTCTCACCAAACAATTTGTCTGACTGAGATTACAGTATGTTGTATGTATGAACATATATTTTAATTAATAAAAAAGGAAAATATTGATTTGTTAAACCTCAATTTTTATTTTTATGTTTTAGAGTTCTGTTTCCTGGTGGCGCAACCTGGTTTAATCAATCCGATGGATACGCAGATGCTGGACGACATATTTTTGATATTGCAAAGGAAATGAACGACAATGGGCAGTATATGCCTTTGTGGGGCACTTGTCTTGGTTTTGAACTGCTTCTATATTTAGATTCGAATGGAGAAAATAGAGCTCATTGCAGTTCCAGTAAGCAGCCGTTGCCTTTAGAATTTAAACAAGGTAAGAAAATTATATTTTTAGAATATGAAATAGTAAATGAAGGTGAATTTTCATAAAAGACAAGTATTTTTTTTATTTCTCAAGAATCAATTTCAATCTGTTTTAAAAATACAAATCATTTACTAATTATGAATGACATTTAATAATATGTAATGTTAAGACCAAAATAGAGTTCACCCATTGGTATTCCTTTTGGTGTTGATTGAAAAGATGCTTTTGTAATCTAGGTGACTTTAAGAAGCTTAACTAATAATCTAAATACATAATAAAAATAGTGAATTATAAATGAAGTAACAACACAAAAAGAAAAGAAAATAAAATAAACTTAAATAAATAAATAAATAAAGAATCAAAAGCATAAAAGTACAAACATAAATGCCGTATCTACATTTTAGATGCAAGCGAGAGGTCGTTTCCTAAAAAAGACAAATAAGAAGCGCTCAAATAGTTTTTCATTTTTAATTATAAATTATAATTATATTTATATCAGCTGTTTTTAGCATATTGAATATTGTTATTGTTATAAGCAAGGTATATGATTCAAATAACTTATGTTAAATAAATGCGCAAACTGCAAGTGAAAATTTTTAATAACACTCAATTGCACACTGTTTCAAAGAAGAATAAAAAGTGTAAATTAATGATTTTATTTGCTTCAAAATTTTAAGTGAAATTTTAATTAAAAAAAGTTTGAATATCCTTACTATAGTTATATTACTAACTTTCGCTATTTCTACTTCAAGCAAGTAGACTACTTGCTCTATATGCATGTTTGATTTTTAAACGTTTTGGTCATGTTGCTATTATTTAAAGAGCGATAAAATTGAAATTATGGTCTGATTTGAATTTTATGTCTGATAAATATTTTTTCCTGATAAATTTGAACATAATTATTTAAGAAAAATCAGCGGATTCGTCATACAGTTTAATTTCTTTACATGAAAAAATTACATTCATGCATATTATTTAATCATTGTAATTGTAATAAAATCATTGTAATTGTATATTACAATCACTATGTCAATGTTGTTTTTGTTTGATAAGAAACCTCTATTTTATGTTTATCTTATCGTCTCAATTGTTAATTATATTAAATCAATTCGTGATTTTGATCAAATGAAAGTGCTTTGATTAATTTTATTCGCCGCCACAACAAAAGGCTTATTGCATAGTTGAATAAAAAATCAACAAATTTTCCATTGCTTAAATGACAAAAATTTTAATTCTATCAATATACGATATAAATTAGTGAATTTAATTTTATTTATAATACATAAAATATTACATTCTTGTAGTTAATTTGAATTAATGTTTAATATTAAAGCGTTTTATATATTTATTGAAAATTAATTATGAAGTACAATTAGTTTTTGAATTGGTTAATCTTATCTGTTCACTTACCGAAGATAATAATGTACATTCGCACGCATATTACGCAATTATTAAACAAAGCGTTTAATTTTACAAGTTATTTACACTTATTGAATTTTTTTATTTTCAAAAAATAACCACTATTATTATATTATTCTAATATTTTTTTAAATAGAGGTGGTTCAGAATTTTTAGTAGAAATTTAACTTTTTGGAAAAAAACTTTTTATATAAATATGTACTAATATAAGAAATAAGATATTTTCAGCATGCTTCTTATTGTCAGTCAATAGAATCAAAATCTTATTATTTTGTCAATAATATATATGAACAGTAATAATAATACTTAAGTTATGTACACACATTCATATTATATATGTATGTAATGTTACATTTGTTAACAATATTTAAGATGCTATTGTATATTTTTTATTATTATTGCTAGTTTTAACTATTAGATTACAATATAATCTATAAGTTAAAAGTGAGGAATTAGTTAAAGAGAGGGTTAAATTTATATATAAATAAGAGAACAAGTTTTTAAACAGACAAATATCCTGGATGAACCATCCGCAGTTATTAAGAAGAAAAACTAAGTTTGTGTTGTTTGTTTTCAGCTAATGTTATATTGTTACACTTTTAAAAAAAAAATCTTAGTTTTTCTTCTTAATAGCTTTATATTATTGGATAGATGCCTGTTAAGATCTTTTTGGTTTTTGAAATCTTTTGCCATATCTCAAATATTATTATATATTGGGCAAGGGTGGAAAATTTTGTTTGTTCAAATTTCAATTTTACTTCTAAATTTTTAAGTTTTTTTTTAAACCAAATGATAAAGATTGAATATATTCAAGATTGCATTATTTTCAAAACTGCTTGAATTTTTGCTCAAAATTCTTTTAATTTTGTGATTAAAAGTTTTTCAAAAGCACAACTTAGTTCTTATTTTTTAATAACTGGATTGACGCCTAGTAAAAAACTTTTTTATTTATAACTATATTATTATGTGATCATGTATATTCAATATATTATATTTCTTCACAATACTTTCACAGGTTATGGTCAAAGTAGAATGTTTAGCCGTGCTCCGATGCATATTATGCAAAGTTTGGCAAATGAACCAATAACTGCAAATTTTCATCAGTATTGTGTTACCGAACAGGTAAAAAAATTACTGTTAATGATTGTTTATTAATAAAAAAAATCAAGATAATGAAATTTACCGATTATTGAAATATTAATCTGGATTAATCATGAATTACAATATCCATGATAATGTGCATATTTGAAAACCATTAAATATTTTCATTTTAGTATATGATTAATAAATATTTTTTACTTATCTTGGGTATTTTTGGGATATGCTTTAATTGAATACTTAAAAATTGCAGAATCTGACAAAGTTTGAGATCGACCATGATTGGAATGTTTTATCAGTGAATAAGGATTGGAATGGTCTTGAATTTATTAGTTCTATTGAATCTGTAAGGTAATAATTATATAATATATTCAAAAAAAGTGTTCAACAAAACATTTCAAGTAATTTTTACTTACAAAAAGTGAAGAATTTTCATCATTTTTGTGAACAAATTCTAAAGTTGGAAATGTATTCCAACGTCGTCCTTTACTAAAGTAGATACTTATATAACTGTTAAGGCAATAATATAAATCAAATCAAATCGTTTACCTTATGTGATTATTCCAGGTATCCATTCTACGGCGTCCAATTCCATCCAGAGAAGAACATTTACGAGTGGGTCCCCAACAGGAATATCTCTCACACCTTACACGCAGTTCAGGCTGCTCAGTATTTCGCTGAATTTTTTGTTAACGAGGCCAGAAAGAGTCCAAATAAATTTGATGAAAAAGAATTGGACAACGAGATAATATACAACTATCATACGACCTTCACAGGATTGAAAGGATCATCATTCGAAGAATGCTATATGTTTGCTGATCCACCTCTGAAGAAGACAAATCAGGCTGCTGAAAGGAGCGCGCCCAAAGGTTTGATATTGCTGTCGGTGGCAGTTCTTGTGTTTTCTCGCATGTCTTCAAAATTAGTGCTTGCTGAATCGTTAGAAATAATTGATAAGTTATATAAGCATAGATATACCTCCATTGCAACTATATCAATTATTTAAAGTATATAAACATAGTTTTATGGAATGAATTTCAATTTACGACTGCAAATACGCTAGGTAATGATAGAATTTTAGATCTGAAATGATAAAATATCTTTATAATATTTAATATGGTTTCAATGGAGTAGCTATGCAATCTGCCTGCCAAATTTGAAGCATTTGTATTCACCTTTTAGTCCAGCACATAGATGCACTTGGCCAACATCGCATGAAATTTGTCCATAATTGTGATATTTTGTCTTCAAAATTTTTAATTTAATTTTGAATAAAACGTATTTTTATAATTGATGCAGAAAAAAAAACATAATGGAGGTACAAATATACTTCAATTGCGAAATTAAATAACAGTCGCTTGATGAATTTGATCATTCGGAATTTCCACAGTCGTCTACAGATTATCCCGGTATAACATATTTATTGTGAATATATGTGTGTTTATTGTGAATTCTACCGCTTTGCCAACTTTGTTTAAAAAATACGATAAAATACCTATTAATTAATTAACCTATTAATAAGCTGCAATATTTTCAGAAATATTTACTATCTTTATTCCCTGATACTCGGTACTCGTGACAATTGCAAACTTGCTGAGGTCAGCAATCCTGATCATGATGGAACCATTTGTAGATTAGATTCACAGTCAAAAATTTTAATCATTATTATTTTTTTCAAAATTTTGACTCGCTAATTGCGAAATGAATACTTATTTTACCGCCGTAACGCCGCGGCATCCGAGTGGAAAGGGTTAGGTTTGCAATAGCGTACCGTACTCTAATGCGTCTTTTCTAAAGAAAACTGAGAAATCTCTTAATTACAGCTAAATATATAAACATTACCCAAGAAATTATGCCGGAGCGGCGGCATCCGAATGGAAAGGGTTAATTGTGCAATAGCGTACTTGTAATGCGTCTTTATAAATAAAGTTAAGAAATCCTTTGATTGCAGCTAAATAAATAAACATCATCCAAGAATGTTATTTATCATATGGCTTATAAAAATTCACACATACGCACTTTGCAATTCCGGTTTTATGGGTCATTTTTAGAAGTTTTGCTGAGGAAACCATAGCTCGGATGTTAATTTCGAGCCAGCGATTTTGTTCTATATATTAAATATCAACTTACAACACAATAAGGATATATAAGGTATAAACCTTATTGTCTTATTTTTATCACGAAGTTAATTTACACTGAAATTTTAAACAAATCACAACTTTATAAAATGAAGTTCAAAATAACATTGTAGAGTGATCTTATTTACATAATTAATATTCGTTTCATTCATAGTGCATATATGAATATATACGGGTCAAATTTGCTTGCCACATTTTTTTTAAACAATTCACTTCTCATAAGCCTATATAATATTTTAAATAAAGTTTTGACCTATCAAATCAAAGATCAAAATTTTGTCAAATTTCAAGACTTACAAGAATAGTAATCAATAGTCGGCGATTTTTGTTCTATATATTTAAATATCAACTCATATCATATGAGTTATATTCATATATGCACTATGAATGAAACGAATATTAATTATGTAAATAAGATTACTCTATAATGTATTTTTGAACTTCATTTATAAAGTTGTGATTTGTTTAAAATTTCAGTGTAAATTAACTTCGTGATAAAAAGTCGTACAAAATAAATCGCTACTATTCATATACTTTTTTATTCTTATCAGCTAGTTGTAAAAGGTGTTGATTTTTTTTGTTATTTTGCTAATAATGAGATAAAAGATAAAATTAGTTAAAAAAATAACTGAGTTCCTATTTACATACATTTCAGAAAAAATGCTTTCCTTTTCTTTTTTTTGTTAATATTATCAAATTTGCATTAATACATAAAAAGAGTAATGGGTAGGTACTTATATACTTTACATTAAGTTCACTTTTACTTATAGTAAGATATAATATATTTGAATTAAACGAAGCATAAATACTGTTATGAATTCATAAAATTTGTTATTTTATGTCGGTGTTTTTTGTTATATATATTACTACATAATTTAGCTTAAAATAGATAGAAATAATTCAAATCATAAGGCTATAAAAATAATACTATGATTCTATATTCGCACATGCAAATGTATGGTATGCCGCATTTATATTAGACTTGTTCTATTAATAAGACATTACTGGAACTAATTATTATTTATAGAAAGTAAATATAAATCTAATCAAACCGTTTGAAACTCAATCGTTCATTAATTAGAAATTTGTCGCTTATCGAATGTAATCTCAATTTAAATCTTATTAATAAATATTCCAAAAGAATGTTGATCAATGAACATTCTAAAGGAATGCATCAGAAAATATTTGCATTAATATTATCAACATTTTTTCCATAGCGACATAATTCAGTTATTAAATATAAATTGTTGCATTCTTTATTTCAGTATCATGTCAATATGAAATTACGGAATCGGATACTACAGAGCAGATTAAATGCAATGATGCATTTTAAGAAATTAATTGTGATTAAATTATGATGTGATTTTCATAACAATAGAGTATAAAAGATTTGTAAACTTACTTCTTTAAAATTTTTTGTGTATTTTTTGTATTTGAATTGTACAATAAAATATGTATAAAAACTATGTATATTATTAACTATAGTATATTATTAACTTCCCGTAGGGTAAGTTATAGTAATCGCAAAAAATGAAGTTCTCGTCGACGATTTCGAGAACACGGATCAACAAATTTGAAAGATTCAAAAATAAAAAAAAACATTTTATGAATCTTTCACGCGCTTCATATTTCATATCGCAGCTAACACACCGCGATGCTTTGAAAAAAAGTTCAATATTTCCAAAATATTTCAAAGTATAAAAAAAATCAAATTATTCTAAAAGGTCAATTTAAAAAAATTAAAATCTTATAAATCAAATTTTTTCAAGGGTTCTAAAAGGAAAATTGAAATCTTTTTAAAAATTTAATTTTTGGTACGAAAAGTTCCAGCAATTGCCTTAATGCTCGATGCCATGCACCACTAGCAGTGGCGTAGGAACCAAATTTTTGATGGGTGGGCTCGTTTTTTTTTTTTTTTGATAGGCAGCCCAGTGGGCTCGTTTTTTTTAGAGATATTACTCCATATAATTTTTTGAAATTGATGGGTGGGGCTGAGCCCCACCATCAAAATTCATGGGTGGGCTCAAGCCCACGCAGCCCACGCGGTTCCGACGCCACTGACCACTAGTTTCATTATATTACAATATTACAAACTGCGTTACAAAAAGTATACAATTATAATTACACTATATGCACTTTCGATATAAGCACTGTACAGCTGCCTATAAAATTAAAATGTTATGATAATTTGTTAAATAAGTTTTTAAGCATTTATTCTGAATGTTTAATGAATTTGAAAATATAATAATTCATATCTTGTTGATCCTATTATTATTATTATTTAACAAATGATAAATTTAATAGTGAAGAGACTTGTTACAAATTCATTTCTTACAGATAAAGTTTCCAAATCATACTCATACCTCATATGACTTGATTTATCAAAGTATTTTTGAACAACCCAATGGTTTTATAACTATTTGATATAGCTTTTTTTTAAATATATTTCTCTATTAGAAAAGAGTGTTTTTTAATTATTCATCTTATTTTTAATTGAAAATTCTTTACCATACTCGTTTAAAAATTTAGTTTCAGTCGTTTTTGTTTTCATTTCCTCATTTATTTTAACATCAGCAAATTTCCGGAATTTGCCTATCAAAATAATGCCAAACACTTTGATATTTTATAATAAAACCATTATTTATTTCATAATTATTATAACATTTTTTACAAATAGCGTAGCATTGTGCTCATAATGAAAGATCTATTTAAATTTAACGGAT